ACTATAGATCAGTGTTTGTACTCATATATTCTGTATATTCAACACCAGTGTTGGGGAGTAACTAATGACATGAAACGGAATTACCTAATTTACTTACAAAATAAATGTAAGTGCAATCTGTTACAGTTACTAAAAAAAAAGTGTAATTAAATTAGCCTACAGTTACTTATGAAAATGTTAACAATTACAAAGGGGGTTTTCACACAAACACACACATACAGATTTTTTATTCATTTATTTCTTAATTGCAGTGACTGCTCTAAAATACGAAGCACCAATGTTTCAGGAGTTTAGAACACCGAATAAGATGCATGCTTATTCGATAACTGTTTAATTTCCTATTTGGGTTTATGCATATGCTTTAAGATTAACAGATTGTTTCCCCCAAGGCATTGTTAGATGGCAGTGTTTCCTGCCATAGCTGTGAAAAGATTTGATTTTAAAAACAGTATCATAGCTCTCAAACTATTTCTTGATCAGAATTTAACCAGAATCAGATTGATCTCAAAGTAAAAAAGGTGCTTAACCCTGCCTGCTTTAAATGTTTCAAAATGATTAACAGTAGAAAATATTTTAAATTTAGAAAAGTAATCAAAAAGTAATCCAATGTAATCAGTTACATTACTTTAATAAAGCAATTGAAATAGTTACACTACTTATTACATTTTAAATAGGGTAACCTGTAAACTGTAACCTATTACATTTACAAAGTAACCTTCCCAGCACTGCCTAACAGTAACCGTCAGAAAATTTTCTGGAAGTCAATGGTGAAAAAAGTGTCAAAGATGCGACCCCCCCTCTCCCAATTTTTCATGCCACAGCAAAAATCAAGCGTCGTATAATACCCCCATGAACTCCTGATGGCCATATATTGGTCACACTGTAGTGAAGCAGTTATAAAACATAAAAGATTTAAGGTCTTTTTTAAAATTATTTTATTATGCATATATTTTTTAATTTTTTTATTATGCATATATTTTTGTATATATTTACACAAAATGTAAACATGATGTAAAATTCACATTAAAGAAGATCTGCATATTTATTTATATATTTATTCATTAAGCAGAAGATTACTGCTACCTAGTTGAAAACAAACACTTATAAAATGAATATGACATGACATTATCACTATGACCAGTAGACGGCTGCAGAGGATCCCTGATTCATGTATTCACTTGCCGTTTCCTCTCCCTCATGTATAGTTAATCAAAGGGTGAGTGATTTATGTAGATACTTGATAATAATATTTTGAGCTCATTTAAAATTCTAAACAACAAAAAAACCTTCTTTGTTTATATTTTGTTTATTTATAAACTTTTATTAAAGAAATGTGTAAAATGTTGCTCATCAGAATCATGGGTTCGATCGAAAAATGTAGGCCTGTATGTTAAATGCAGTGCAGTTTTCTCTGGATAAAAGTAGCCTGTGTAAACGTAAGAGCCCTTGAGCAGATCAGATAAGACCAAATGAATGAATGAATAGTAGGCTAATACGGTAATAATAATAATAATAATGATGATGATGATAATAATTTAACAAATGAATGTGTTATTTTCTTTCCTTTAAGTAAGTGTGCATTAAACGATTCAACGGTTATCAGAATTAAAAGTTAAATCTGTCATTGCAGCTTTTTGAAGTGTGAATTTTGTTTGGAAGGATGAAATGATAGTAGGCTACATTTTCGTCAGTTATTTTATCGGTTATTAAATCAGATACATAGAAGCACAGTCAAATTGCATTTTTATTGACAAATAAATAGCACTCTGAGAGCGAGCGAAACCCAGACAGTCGAGAGATCCCCGCTTCAGTTAAAATCACACTGCTCCGCTCTCAATGCACTTCGATCCCATACGCTGCTTTGGGGTGGCAAAGCTCATTTTAAGGGTGGTGCCACCCTTGTGGACACGCCACTGCAAGGAGAGGGAGTGTTTATGATCAAACCTCCGAACATTTGATGTGCATAAAAAGCCCTGAATGTGCTCTGAACAGGACATCCAGACTTCAAACTGTGGCATGTAGGCTCTCAGAGAAATTCACTCAAATATAATATCCTCAGAGGACAAAAGTCTATGCCTGGGTCGCAGGAGGATATAATGCACTGAAGAACAGCAGGTGGCAGTAATGCAACACATCGGATGGAAACTGCCGTAAAACCCCGAAGAAGAAGAAAGAAGCGCGTCAGATCGGATCAGATGATCATCACACCGTTTGAAAAACCGCGGGAAACAGACGACACGCACTTTCTCCTGCTTCGTTTAATATTTCAACTCACATAAGGTAACATTTTAACACAAAATATATACAATATATAGAGTTTTCTCCAGTTTCTTTCCTAATAATATATGTTTGAACATGAATAGACCAAAAAAAGCTGTAAATGGGAGTAAAAGCTTGTTGTGGCTGTTATCTGTGAAGAAAGAGAAACTTACACTGTCGTGTATGAACACCAAAGGTGTTTGGATCAGTGCTGTTTTATGTGTCTGCTGAAGAGGAGAATAGTATTGGATGCACTGTATAAAAAAATTGGTAAAATACCGGCAGCTGTAACTTTACCGTAAAAAAAAAAAATATGCTATCAACATTTATTATCTGAAATATTGTTAATATACCAACCTATTGAAGTACTGATATCTGTTGAAATACACTGATAACCTCCAAAAACAGCTGATGAGAAAGTCACATGATGAAAACTTTTCCACTAGCTGTCATAGTTTATAGTTATATGGTAACAAAAGTGTATTATTTGTGATTAGAATTTTGTGAATGGAACGCTTTCACTTTCGCTTTTAGAATTCTCCATCTTGGTGTCACGTGTTCAAGAAAAGATCATTGTCTGTTGTGCTTAACGTTACAGCTATGCACCTTTCACTTTTAAAGACTGAAACAAATGCTTGAAAGACAGATTCATTGTTATTCTTAATGAAAAGCACAATATTATTAACTGTAGGCTACAATGGCCGACTACGTTTATTAATAATAAATGATAAGACGAGGCATGGCATACACAGCATGCTGTATTATATCAAAGATTATAGATTACCTTAAAGGGACTTTGATTATATATCGACTAATAAATTACAGAAAGCTTAGCAAACACTGTGGAATCAAATAAATAAGAAAAAAAAA